CAATAAATGTTATTGACTATTCTATGAAGAAACGTCTCAAATTTTATTGTGATCAAAAATTTTTTAGTATTGCTGAAAGAAATCATTTAATTTTGATTTCAAAAACGGATTCTTTCGAAAATGCTGCTCAAAATGTTATAAAAAAATCCATGTAGAATCCAAAGATTAATCGGGACAAATGGATCATCCTATTGTATAATATGTACAGATAATAAATTACACATTGTAATTGTTTACCTTCCATATTCTTCTTTGGAAAATCTTCGTTTCTGTAATTGATTAACCGATTTATCTTGTGAAAATGGATTTACAGCTTGTTTTTCTTGGTGTGAGTTTGATATTTTGTTGAAAAGGGCAACCCTCTGACTTAAGGAACATGGGGCTTCCTAAAAATCCCCGGCATCAGTAATCGACGTTAAAGATGCAATAATAACAACGTAATCTAATTTTATATGTAATAATCTGGATTTTCACCTTTAATTCACGCCACATTATCAACTTTATGCATATAATTCAGTAAGGCAAATTACGAAATTAAACAAATCAAAAAGTTGATAGGAATTGATAATAGATATTAGCGATATGACGTCGTTAATAATAAAAAATTACATTTAAAAAATGTTGAAAGCCTATCAATAAAGAAATAAATAAATAAAAAAAGTAACATTTTTGTAAGTTTTGTGAACTTGGTATTTGCAGCAAGTGAATTGCATCTTACGTTGTGCAACTTCGATTTAATTTATGTTGCATTTCCCGTTCGTCAAAAATGTTTTAATTAGGCGCGTTAATTATTTTTTGGCCGCTTAAGATGTTCTAGATGTCAGCGGATGTTTGAAGAATTTTGGCTGGCGGCCAAGCAATAAACCGTGTTGGTATTCATAAAGCGCGAAAAAAATGTCAAATTCACCTTGTAATTCAGTAAACGGCCATATCGAAAATAGATATATGAATTAGGGTACGAATTATTCCTCATTATTCGGTAAATTAATGGCCCGTTTGGCCTTCACACTCTTTCTTAGATTCATAATGTGGCATCCTTGGCTACACTTAATTTAGAAGACAGTGATGGATTTTTTGTAACAGTAAACAATTTTTTTTCTCTTAACAGTTATATACAAAAGAAATAAAATAAAAAAAGGCTTATCTAATTTTGAATTTTAATTTGCTAAAAGACTATTTTATAGATAATTTACATACTTTAGTGCCTATGTTAAAAACCGAACTTTTACTTCTTGCGTTACGTACTAATCGTATTAATTTTATTATCTTAGATAAAATTTTCTCTTATTTCCAATCAAAAAAAAAAAAAAAACTTCCCTAAATTCGGAAAATAATATAAAAATTAATGGCTTTGAATAGACGTAATTCTCTTGCTGCTATTTGTGAACAAAAGAAGTTTTCCCGAGTCCAATTACGGAATGAAAATTTCACTACCCTTTTAGATTTTGTATTCTAAAAATCGCTAATTTCATAAAAAGTTGCTGTTGGAATACACAAAAAATACTTTCTATTCTATATTACAGGTGGTTACCTGAAATATAGAAAAGTTTTGCTGAAAGTAACGTTTTGCTTTTATTTCAAAAAATGTTGATTTAAGGGGTGTCCGACTGTAAGCTTTTTAATTGAATAAAAGTGGTTCTTACCAAATAGCCTTCTGTGATACAGGATTCTGTCATTTTTGAATATTTTTAGTCACTTTATAAAAATTGTTTTAGTTTTTGTATTCAATATATGAGTAAGACACACGCTGCGATGTTCAAAATTTCGATGATGATTTTTTTGAGTCTTAGGCAGGAAGCTGTTAATTCTGAAAATGCGTCGAACTTACTGAAAAGACGCCTACCTTAGATAGGAATTTATAGAAATTGGCGTCCCGACGCGTCTTCATCTACGTCACACGGTTTACTTTTTGGCCACTGTTCAAGTAGCTTATTCACATTTTTGGTATTTTGAGATTCCAGAATTTGCAGCAAATCGAAATTTTTACGCCTAATCTGATCTTTAAATAAATAAATAAATAACGAATAACAGCCGTGTGCCGAAAACGGAATATTTTCCCAAGTATCTGCAATTATCATTATGTATGAAGTTTGATGCTTAAATATAGAGAAAATTAGTTTGTTATTGTTTTGAAACCGGACGGGAATATATTCTGGAATAATATTGACGATCATTTCAGTTTACAGTACAAATTAATAGAAACACTACGTGACGCCAATTTGTTGAAAAAAATAAACGGCAGTCAAACTCCAATTTTAGAAAATTGATCATTACGAATCCTAATAAAAGCGGTGATTACTAATTATTATCTATAAATCGAAAATTATCACAGTTTCAATACCAATATCCCTGTTTCTTTGTTGATAAAAACAAAAATTAAAATTACAAAATAAAATGCCGGACAAGTGATGTTTAACGAATTTGCTTAAATGATTCGGTCAAGCAGGAATCGGACTGACCGCTTGAACTGCGTGAATTTTGAAAGAGGTGAATCAGCAAACATTAAAACATGGTTGGAAGAATTTGTTTGATGGCCAAGATGCAGACATAGATTTAGGATTTGAACTTCCTGATTTCTAAACTACAATACATAGTAATGTTGGAGAAATAGCTGAAGAAGATGTTTTACAATGGCTAGAAGTCATGACTACAAGTGAAATAGCAGATAAAGTTATGAACCTAAAAAATGAAGATGAAAGTGAAGATAGCGAAGAAGAAACAACACTGCCAAAAATGAAGTTATCAGTAACATCTCGACGATCCAATAACATTTATTGACTATTCTTCAGATAAAGAAATATAACTATATAATTATAAAAAAAGCAAACTTGGAAAGTGCAAACAAAACTTGATTCCTTTTTCAAAATAGGATTACCCAGTCGATATCAAACAGCAACGCCACTTTATGATGAGTGTCCGAAGATAATTAAATAAAATTTTGTTTGTATTTTGTATTTTTATTTATATCTAAATACAGTCTATTTCAAAGAAAAGTCTATTGATATATTTTAAACCTATTTTTATATAACGGACTTTCGGCTTTAACGGACACCCCCTCCCCCAATTAGTTCGTTATATGTAGGTTTTACTGTACATATTTTCAAATATTTCAAGAACAATTTGACAAATTACATACTATCTAATAATTTTTTCGTCTGGTCAGCTACTCTAGTTTGCGTGAACTTTGCAAAAATCATAACTTCACCAGAATAATTTTACGTCTTACATAGTTCGTGCGGTCACCCCGCATCATGTTTGATCGAGTTTTATTAAATACTGTGCTAATTATTTTGATTTATGGTACAATCATTCACTGATTTGTACAGTTAAGAGTATCAACTATAAATTTTTCCAAAAAACCTCAATTTTATCAGAAATATTGAAGGGAAACTATTGTAAAATTTTCCAAGAAATAGTCAATGTAACTATTACGTGTTAAAAACACGCACGATGAGGATGTTACTTGGATGAGACTTTTTCAAAAAAAACAATGCTAAAAACAATGAAACATAGATGGATATGGGTTACTTCACACATTGGTATAAATAAACGTCATCGGATTGTACATGTATGTATTCACGCAGTTGAATGATCATTTTAAATTTAGTTTCTGATTCAAGAGGATGTAAATAGGGTCAGAAATGTGGTGTACAATCGAAATAAATTAAAATGATACCATCATTTGGTCGTAAACATTCTTCTCAAGTTATTATAATTTTTTGGGACGTTGTAAGTATTAATTATACAAACTCAAATAAAATAAAAACAATTAATACTTATATAATCTGTATTGCCAAGATAACCACAGAAATAAATCCCAAATTCTGTGATAGTTCTTTTGTTGTAGCCATCCAGTATAATTAATTACATAATTCTATTAATTACATAATTTACAATATTTAACTAATCGGAAAAGATTCCCGGTGATTCCGCCATAATTTTTGTTTGTAATATGTCATCATAAGGTCGTAGATCCTAAGACTGGTTGGACACGCACCTCCACTCTTTCCTATGCCGAGCTAATCTACGCATTTCCTCAAGCCTAGAACAACCCACATACATAACTATTTTCGAACAGTAATCTAATGTAGATCTACCTCTAATCCTTTTAACTCCTATTTATGCCTCTAATATGTCTCTGACTAGACCTTAATGCTCGAGAAGATGTCCTACCAACCTTCTTCTATCTCTATCTCTTCTTATTGACTTCCATGGAGTCCTCTGTTCTCCTATTCTTTCTAATACCTCTTCATTTCTAAGCTTATCTACCCACAGTATCCTCATCTTTCTGTAACATAACTTTTCGAACACTTCTAACCTTTTCTTTTTCGCCGCGCCCGCCGTCTATGTTTCGCATCCGTACAGCGCCGCGTTCCAAACATACACCTTTATATTCGAATTTCTAAATTAATCGTTCAGAACATAGAAGTGATTTCTTTTTATTGAAGGCGACTCGACCCTGTTATATCCCTATTACTCCTTCCGTCCTGACTTAGCTGACTTCCTAGATACATTTTATTTAAAGCTATCTCTAACTCCTCCTTGCTAGATCCTAATACTGCTACATCATCTGCAAATCTAAGCATACTAATCTTTGCCATTTGGTATATCTATCCCTACAGTTGTACAACAGAAAATTTAAGATGTAAAGTTAAGTTGTCAATTAGACTTAATCGTTTGGTTAGAGACGTCTGACCAACGTTTCGTCGGTACACAGCCGATCAGTAGTTTTTTTCATAATTGTGACGTATTTCTTATTTTTTCGATTGTACGAACGAGTACGAAATGCAAATATAAACGTGCTGTTCATTAGATTTATTTTATGTTTTTCATTCTACACACTACGTAGGATAGGTCTAGATTTTCTTCAATGAAATTCTATTTTTGTCGATATAACTGCCTACAGAATTTTTTTATTATAAACTTTACCCAGTTTGATGCTTAACAACACCGGAAGTCCATTAGTAGTTACGGATACAGTGATTTTCCGTTAGGAATGATTTTTAAAACTGCGATAAATATATTTTGAATGCAGTGCGATGATTTGTAAAGCTTTCGCGGCCATGGTCAACAGGCACAAACATAGCTTCAAGGGTACCTTATAGTCGAGTAAATACCAAACAATTTTCATAGTGTATGCAAAGCTTTCTTTAAGAAATATGTGGAAAATACGAATGTTTAATAAGTTTACTACCTACGAAGGAGAGAAGACTGAATTTTTTTGGTTCGTTAGTCAGCTAAGAATCAAACATTTATTACACATTAACTGATTTAAGCTTTCGCAGCTATAGTTTTTTGGGATTTTCATTCAACGTTTTGTCGACTCGCGTGGGCATTTTTAAGAGGTCTTCTTCCTCCCTAAGGAGTCGCTTTTGTCTTTAAAATAATAAATAAAATTTTTAATTAACTAGTATGTTAATTACGTACGATTTATAAATATAGTATGCCATTTATTTTTAGTTGGTTTAATGGGTTGAGTTGAAAAGTCAAATATTTCTTCGTATTTGTCATAGATAACGTAATAAGTGGTGGTCGAAATTGTTTATTACATTTCAAAATCTTTTTTCAAGTTCAATAGTCGTACAAAAAGTCATGCCAAACCGGCAATTTGCCAATCCTATAAATTTTGTTTGTCTTTTACACAAATATATTTTTTATTGTAACTGCTGTAATCAATGACGTATTAAATTCTTGCGACTTTAATTCGATTTTAAAAAAATGAAAGATCAGTCTTGCACATTTTGTTACATTTCCTTTTATCCATTGATAAAGTTTTTGCTATGAGAAGAAAATAAATAAGTTAAATGTTATTCTAGTTCATATAAATGTTATTGAAATATCCACCTGATATTCTTCTGTTTTGTCTTTTAATGGAAAATGTATTCTTCCNGTTTTTGCTATGAGAAGAAAATAAATAAGTTAAATGTTATTCTAGTTCATATAAATGTTATTGAAATATCCACCTGATATTCTTCTGTTTTGTCTTTTAATGGAAAATGTATTCTTCCTAGAAAGTTATGAACATGAACACTTTCACTTCCTTTTGCATATAAACTTTCCACAATAAATGTTGTAACATAATTCTTTCCACAACCGGGAGTTCCATGAAAACTCAAAGTTAAAGCTTTAGTAGGCTCACCATTCCAGTGTCCTTTCAAAGCATTTACAACTACATCATGAACTAAATTTTGACCATACAATTTTTCTTTTAGACTAGTTTCTAACCCTGTAACACACTTTGAAGTAGAGGCATATTGTAAAACTTTCAACTAGCTTACTGTTAAAATTAGCAGGAATTTCTCTTTCTGTACAGCATTCTTTGAAAAAGCAAACCGTATTTTTTAAATTTTGATATAAATAACTTGCTGCAAGTGCAGCTCCTGTTCCTATTGAAAAGGGATCAAAGCATGACACTAGTGATAAACAACATAATATTAAAATCACAGTCTCGTACACTACGTTCATAATTTAATTAAATAAAAAATAGTTGTAACAAAGGTAAAAGCACTAATTATAATATTTAAATAATTTCAACGTTATAATCATGATATATTTCACTCATTATTGCAATAAATATTTACATTTATCATGTAAACATTAAGAATTAACCTCAAAAAATGATCAACTTGCTTATAACCCTATTGGATGTTGTTATATAACATCTGAGACAGTAGTGCCTAATCACACGCACTTACGAAATATTTAAAATTACTAAAGGTATTCACTAACATTTTTCGCAAAATTGTTTTGTTTATTAATTAATGGATACGCTTTATTATCCCGGTATTCAAGAAGCACCTACTTTAAGTATACATTTCAATATTTTAAAATAAAACTT